TTTGTTCAATCATGAATAGTAGTGCGAGTCGAAAACAAGCGTTAAAGCCTTTAATATGTCTTCAAATATAAATAAACATCTTGTTGATATTTTCAGTAGTAATTGGTTCCAATAACAGCACAATTGAGCAATGCAATTGCAGTGGATAAAATAGTCAATTTTTCCGTGCAGTATTGTACGGATTATACGCTCCTCACCGGTTAAAAGAGTTGTCTCCTTCCTTTTCTGGCCTAGTGCTGTTCTTTTCTACTTTGCGCCGGTCAAACCGAAGGTCACATCGCTACAGAAAGTAAACGAAGTATAACATCTTCAGCTACATTGCGCATCCCCGACTTCGAGGAATAACATTCGTCAAGTATACGCTGAAGATGGCAGCAGCTGTTGCCTATGCAATATGTGGACTTAATCATTTATTCTTCGTCCTGACTTACTTGTTTTTCATCACAATTTTTTTAAATAAAAGGCTTATAAATAGCACTTTTTTAATGTGTTCTAGTGTAGGTATTTACCTTCTTGATTAAATTCAAGCGGTGCTTTTTTAGTTGCGCATTTAACGCTCTTCCAGAATAATAACCAGTTAGGGCGGAATATTCCTCTTTTTCTGTTTCAAGTTCTTCTTTACACTCTTGAATGTCTTGCTTGAAAAGTCCATATAGCTGTAAATCAGACTTTTACTTTAATTTCGTAATAACTTACTTTTTGGATAACGAACATTCCTCATTTCTGTACTAGTTCGATTCAAGTATTAAAATTACAGAAATAACCTTATTAACTAAAAAAATTAATATTATAATGATCAGACATAAATTTGTAGTTAGAAAAGAAGCAGAAATGCTCGCCCGTCAGATTAGTCAAGGATCATAGGATTGTATTGGATGCCTGTTAAGGTTGCCGAACGTAAGATCACACGCGTTAGAAAATGATGCTGTGTTAGTGGAGGAAGTAAGATAGGTAGCTTCACATCTAAATCACATCACACATCTAAATATCTCTCTTATTTGGCATTCGATTCGACTGTAGCGATGTAAGGAAAATATTTAGCCGACAGTCTCTCAGTATAAGAGGACCAAAAAGCCTAGTAAACTTCGCTGAGCTCGTTTGACAATTAGGAAGACACTTGAAGGGTAGAATCCACCACCCTTTATTTTAATTATCGCCTGCTTCTGCAGATACGGGCCTGTGAAACCAAATCCATTACTGATACTGTTATACTGGTGTCGTTGCCGACCTCTGATGATCCCATAGAGTGCCTAGCAATCCAGTTATGTGCATCTCTGGCCGACTAGCTCTTACCAACTTGATTTTCGCTGAGCGAGTCCATAGTATCACTCAGTATGCTACTTTATATTCTGTCGGCGTCTCACTATACCGTTGATTAATCCCCTTATTATTACCTGTCATCACCGCCCCAGAAAGTACTAGAGTATCCTTAGCACGCTGCATCACAGGTTGATTATCCCTTCTTCCGCGTTGTGTCCCAAATGGAATCGCATCTTCCATCATTCGGTACGTCAGTGGATGTTGCCGATACTATCCGTTTTTCCGTCCGGAACAAGAACCTCATAAAGCGGTATAGGTACTAATACACATTTCAGGTTGGTGCTTTGTAACTCAATACTTTTCGGTTTGTTGAAAATTTATGGTCATATAAATACATCACACTTGGTTAATTAGGGATTCATTTATACCATGTAATGATTGTTTATTGATCCATGTACTGTTCTTGAAATTACATAGGTGAAGGGCAAACACTTTAATTTGTTTTAAGCTAGTTCTTTTGCTTAAGAAGCTTTATGTTGTTTAGAAAGAGTTCACAATAACTCTGGGACCCACATTTACTTCAAAATGCCGTAAACGTAGATGTGACTATACCGGCTAGAAAGTGCAGCCGACAGGGGTCAAGTGAAAAATCAAGCGTTTTACTCACGTCATCGATCTATTCTAGTGTAGTACATTCACACTAGAAGTGCAAACCGATTAAGTTTTGCACAATTTTACAGTATCGATTTACAGTATGTCAATGTCCAGCCAAAGCGTTAGAATAAACTATAGCACCTGGACAATTAAAAATTAAAATTTCTGACCAAAAACTTAAACACCCTTACAAACTATTATCGATATAAATGTTTACCTATCTATATTGCATTCTAATAAACCTGGACGAGTTACACTTTTGCATAACAGAGGGCGATTGAGACGTTCCATGACATCTTCTCCAATGGTGTCAACCCACTTTCTATACAGGTTTAATGTTGCTTCATCAATCAAATTTAAACATTTATCGTAAAGATTAAATGTTTCTTCTCTATATTTGCAGTGTGGTAACCAATAGGCATCGTCAAAAGCCTAATTAGTAAAAAAAAATGTATAGACAAATCTAAATAGAACATTAATTCTATGAAAAAATAGTAGAATTAAGGTTTGAGTTGATGGGCTGTAGTCGAAATGAACGATGAAGTGCAACATTTCGCTGACAACTGTAACTATACTTCATTTACTTTTTGTAGCGATGTGCCCCTTCCAATGTTTTGGATGCGCGCTGGCAAAATCGTAGGTAGGGAGAAAAGCTCATTATACTCCCGACTCTTGTTCATTAAACATACTTTTTCATATAGTACCTGCCAAAAGTTTAGTTTAATCATGAATAATAGTGCGAGTCGAAAACAAGCGTTAAAGTCTTTAATATGTTTTCAAATATAAATAAACATCTTGTTGATATTTTCAGTACTAATTGGTTCCAATAACAGCACAATTGAGCAATGCAATTGCAGTGGATCAAATAGTCAATTTTTCCCTGCAGTACTGTACGGATTATACGCTCCTCACCGGTTAGGAGTTTGGCCGAGAGTTGTCTCCTTCCTTTTCTAGCCTAGTGCTGTTCTTTTCTACTTTGCGCAGGTCAAACTGAAGGTCACATCGCTACAGAAAGTAAACGAAGTATATATGAAATATATAAAGGAA